GATTGATGTGAGCATAAGGATATGACTGGTGATAACCACGGTGCCCATGTCGAATCCATTTCGCAGTGGACTGCACCCCACACAAAGCATGTCGGATATGCTGATATGGAGGGCTGATATTGATCCCCATGAGGACATCAGAAGGGGCATCTGCAGTCCCCAGTATTTGATTTATAGTTGAAGGTGTCAGAGGGACCTCCACGCCTCGCACGGTTACAAAGTGAGAACGAGCATCGGGATTCCAATTTGCGTAGAATTCCCACACCACACTAACATTGCACTCTGATGGATCTTGAAAGATGACACCCATGTGCAGCTCTTGCAGGCGACACATAATGTGTGGGAACTCCATCTCCAAGTTGACATCATCAAGTATCACATCCGAAAAGTACTTGGCTTCCGTGTGTGATTTGTACCACTTCTTGCCCTCCGATGTGACAACCTTGTCCCCGTAGCGCTGAGTTTGTCCTCTTGGGACTGCGAGTGCCGGGGGAATGGTGGTGCCCGTTCTTACTCTCTTATGGCTGCTAGACACCACCACTTGGCCCGACCTTTGTGTGCTAGACATGGTAACCTGCAATCAGACAAAACTCACAAACAACATGGTACTCAGACTTCCCAATGTCATTTTCAGCATATGATTCACATAATTCACCATAGCCTAAACATACAAAACCAAACATCTCAGATTCTACTCCAGAATTCGAACCAACACCCATTCTTCTATTTCAATCACTTCCCCCATCACCAAGTTGCTACCCAAGAATTCACAACCCCCAATTATTAATTTCCCCACAAAAATTTTCCTCATTATAATTATCCTAGTGAACTCCAACAGATTTTTCCCATCAACCATAGCCATAAAGAAGCAGAAAACCACAAATAGGCAACAATTTAAATATATCACAAGAACTCATCTATCATGCGCATCAATACTAGCCCTACTTTTGTGAATCATCCCAACGAAAGAAATAAAAGATTAGGACACATACCTTGTGTGCTTAGACCCACAAAAACTGAAGAACTTGGGGAGAAATTTCCACTTCGTGACATGGATTTGATCTTAGAAGGAGTTAGGGTTGAAGGGGAAAGAAAGAGAAAGCAATTTAAAATGGAAAATGAGGGTTAAAGAGATGGATTTGGGGAATAAAAGGGAATGGGGGTCGGGTTTTTACCCAATTAGCCGGGTAAAGCCCGACTTTTTAATTAAAAAATACCCAAAAAACTCACCAGGTCCGCGGAGCTATCGCGGACATGCCTTGATGTTTTTGTCATAACTTTGCCTGGGGCATCCATCACCTGGAGGAAACAAGTCCGCGACGCGCTCCTGTCGCGAACTCCACTGGTTTCGCGCCCCAATTTCTCTTGGGGCTCTCCTCTTGTAGAAACAAGTCCGCGACGCTATGAGGTCGCGGACTCCACTATTTTCTCACCCCAAAAATTGTTTGTTTTGGTTTTTTAAATTACAAATTACAACTTTTAAGATAACTGCACTAACCTATAACTAAAACTAAACTAAACTAGCCTATTCAAATAAAATACAACGGGAATATATGCTAAAAGACAAACTCTCGGGTTACCTCTGTCACGACCCAAGCCTAGGGCCTAGACGTGACCGGCGAATGGGGAACCCGAAGGAACCCCAAACAAGCCTCATAGCATATCATTACACATCCTTGGTCGCGGAAGCAATTAAAATGACCATAAGCGATAAGCATAATCAAAGGGGGAAATCGGGACTAAGGGAGCAAGAAAAAAAAAAGAAATGATACATAAATACCATAGATGAGTCAAGCTCAAGCATAATACACAACTTGTCCAACACCACCTCTAAACATGAGTACTTAGCGGGGGCCAAGACAAACTACCGGGCTCACCCTCATAGTCAAAACATAACTAAAAAGAAAAGTCTTATACATAGCAAAAGATCATGAGCAACGTCCCCGGAATGGAGGACTCACCAATAACCTTGATAGGAAATCGTATTAGCCACGCGGAGGAGGATGGTCAAGCGGTGCTCCGGTTCCTACATGGTGACATCATGTAGGCATAGAGTATGTGTTAGTACGTTTGAATGTACTAAGTATATGAGATGCAATGCAATGCCACAATAGATGGACATCATAGGAAAAAATGCATAATCATACCCGATAGATAGCACATAAATGAAATGATATATATAATGACGCTTACATAAAAATCATATTTAGTGGGACGTAGTACATGTGTGGTGAGTGACCATCAATATAGTATTTCCAAGGCCTACCACCCCCTTGAAGAGGTGAAAGAGGTACAAACCCCTCAATGTGGTTACCCGGGCCTACCACCCCCCGAGCTAGGGACCAAGGTACAAACCCCTCGATATGGTTATACGGGCCTACTACCCCCCGTACTAGGCAACCAAGGTACCAACCCCTTGATACGGTTATACGGGCCTACTACCCCCCGTACTAGGCTTGGTCGACTCACAACACTTTTATAGAGAAAATCATATACATGTATCACTTTCATCATCATTTCAATAATTATATAATCATCCGACTTATAGGATGTACCTTGGACCTTCCATTTCCTATGAATTCTATAAATGACATTTTATCAAACACATGGTGGGCTATTGTTCATGTAGATAAAATCATATCTTTCAAGAGTACTAAGTCCAACCAATTCCGAAATACATATAAATCAGCCCACCAACAACATACATATATATATCAACCTTCATAATTTGATCATGGAAGCATGAAAACCATAAACATCACATAATAATTCCATTTCATGATAATATGCAAAAATAGACCATAATAGAATGTGTAGTAGTAATTCCATAATTCAAGAGTTCATAAATGATCATAAGGACCCATAAACTTGAAGTAAAATAGAGGATAAATGGTTGGACTTGTGGAAAGGAAGGTTTCCACAATCAACCCACATACCTCAACTTTGGAGAATCCTTGATGAGGATTGGAATGGAGAATTGATGCTTGAGATTGAGTCTTGAATCCGGAATTAAAACTTGAGATGTTTGAATTTGGTTGAAGATCTTGGTGGAATTTTGGAGAGGGATTAGTGAGTGTTTTTGAGTGTTTTGAAGCTAGAAAGAAATATAACTAAGTATGGGACAATCCTCTTTTTTATAAAAGAAAAACGTCCAGCCGCTACAGTAACTTTAGCTACTGGAAATTGAAATTCTGCTCCGACAGGTTTTACAAAAATGATCATAACTCCTTCATCCTAACTCGGAATGAGGTGAAACCAATTGCATTGGAAAGCTAACTCGAAGGGCTTTAATTTAATAGGTAGAGGCCCTTCCAGTTCCTTATGTGCTAAGAGATATACCCCTTTAAAGTTGACCCTGAAAATCGCATTTTTTGCGATTTTTGAAATTTGATACGGTTGTTCTAAAATTCGGGTTAGACCCATTTACCACTCAATTTGACCCCCTGAATAAGAATATGAAGTCGAATTTCCGAAATCATGCACGGATTTTGAGATATATGGAAATTACAATTATAAGTGTTTCTGAAGCACATTTTCGGGCATTTTTGGGGTTGTTTCAACCTCCCGAGTAGCACCTGATTTAACGTCGCGGCACGACTCAGCTCCCCCTCATTCATTGCTCAACTCCAAACTTTCTTCTTCTCGAACCACCTCTTGTCTGAAATAATGCTTCACCCTATGTCCATTCACGATAAACGTAGATTGCTTACCTTCATTCCATAAATCTACAGCGACGTGGTCGGTCATGCGCACTACCTCAAATGGTCCGCTCCATTTTGAGTTTAACTTACCTGGAAACAACCTCAATTTAGAGTAAAACAATAATACATTTTGCCCCGGTTCAAAAAGTCGAGGCACAATATGCTTATCATGCCATCGTTTAGTCTTCTCCTTATAGAGCTTAGCATTTTCATAGGCATGGAGTTTGAATTCTTCCAATTCATGTAGTTGACCCATCCATCTTCTCCCTGCTAGTTTCGGGTTCAGGTTCAACTTCTTCATTGCCCAGTAAGCTTGATGTTCTAATTCAACTAAAAGGTGAAATGTTTTACCAAACACCAAGTGATAGAGAGAAGTCCCTATTGGTGATAAGGGGTCTTGTATGCCCATAATGCATCATCAAGCTTCATTGCCAAATCTTTCCTTTGGGCATTCACTGTTTTCTGTAGAATCTGCTTCACTTCCCTGTTTGACACTTCTACATGGCCACTAGTTTGAGGGTGGTATGTTGTAGCTACCTTGTGTCTGACTCCATGTTTAGCTAAAATATTCTTCACCAATTGATTTATGAAGTGTGTCACTCCATCACTGATTATTGCTCTAGGAGTTCCAAACCGAGTGAAGATGTGCTTCTTTAGAAACTTCAACACCACTTTATCATCATTGGTCGGCAACGCCACTGCCTCAACCCATTTTGACACATAGTCCACTGCCACAAGTATGTACTGATTTCCATTCGATGGAGGGAATGGCCCCACACATCAAATATTTTAACCTCCAAGATGTTATGCAAGGGTATCTCATGTCGTCTGGAAATAGACCCCATCCTCTGACATTGATCACAACTTTTCACCTAACCTGCAACATCTCTAAACAAAGTAAACCAGAAAAAACCTGATTGAAGCACCTTTGCGCAGTGTGCTCACCTCCGTGATGACCCCCATATGCAGATGAGTGGCAACTGTCCATCACTTATCTCATTTCGGACTCAGGGACACACTTCCTCATCATTTTGTCCGGCCCTTGCTTGAAGAGATAAGGCTCATCCCATATGTAGAACCGAGCATCATAAATAAGCCTTTTTTTTTATGTGTGGTTGCACCTAGTGGAAACAATCCGCTAACCAAATAATTAACAATGTCAGCATATCATGGTAGTTCATTCACCTCCAGCGCCAATAGTTGTTCATCAGGGAATTCCCCCCTAATATGACCTTACTCTCCCACATGTCTCAAACTCTTCAATCTCAATAGGTGGTCTGCAATCTGGTTTTCAGAACCTCATCGGTCCTTGATCTCAATATCAAACTCTTGTAGCAATAGAATCCACCTGATTAACCGCGGCTTTGCATCATTCTTGTTGAACAAGTACCCGATAGCTGCATGGTCAGTATAAACAACAACTTTAGTACCTACTATGTAAGATCTAAACCTGTCAAAAGCATAGACCAAAACAAGCATTTCTTTTTCAGTCACTGTGTAGTTGGTTTGGGCCGCATCCAGTGTTTTGCTTGCATAATATATTGGTTGAAACACCTTCTTCTTTCCTTTGCCCCAACATTGCTCCCATAGCCATATCATTTGCATCACACATCAACTCAAAAGGAAGCTCCCATTTTGAGGAAGTTAGGATTGGAGCTTCTGTCAACTTCTTCTTCAAAGCTTTAAAAGCTTGCATGCATTGTTCATCAAATACAAATTTCATCTCCTTCTCTAGGAGACTGCACATGGGTCTTGCAATCATAGAGAAATCCTTGATGAATCTCCTGTAGAAACCAGCATGACCCAAAAAACTTCGCACCACTTTAACAAAAATTGAGGGAGGTAGCTTTTCAATTACTTCCACTTTGGCACGGTCAATTTCCAGCCCTCACTTTGACACCTTATGGCCCAACACAATCCCTTCCTTCACTAGGAAATGACATTTTTCCCTGTTTAGGATGAGATTAGTTTCCTCGCATCTAGCTAGCACCCTGTCTAAATTCTCCAAGCACCTGTCAAAAGACTCCCCAAATACTGAGAAGTCATCCATGAATATTTCCACAAAATCTTCAACCATATCATGAAAGATAGTCATCATGCATCTTTGGAAGGTGGTTGGAGCATTGCATAGCCCAAACTGCATTCTCTTGAAAGCATATGTCCCATACGGGCAATTGAATGTAGTTTTCTCCTGATCCTCTGGTGCAATCACAATTTGGTTGTATCCTGAATAGCCATCCAGGAAACAATAATATTTTTATCCAGCCAACCTGTCCAGCATCTGATCAATAAAAGGAACCAGGTAGTGATCCTTTCTGGTGGCTTCATTCAATTTTCTATAATCCATGCATATTCGCCATCTTGTAATTGTCCTGGTTGGAATCAACTCATTTCTTTCATTAGTGATCACCTCCATGCCTCCCTTTTTAGGCACACACTGAATTAGGCTGACCCACTTGATGTCCGAAATTGGATAGATAATACCCGTATCTAGCCATTTGATCACCTCCCTGCGCACCACATCTTTCATCATTGGGTTTAGCTTGCGTTGTGGTTGCACAATTGACTTGTGCCCCTCCTTCATGAATATCATGTGCATACATAAAGTTGGGTTGATGCCATTTATGTCAGCCATCTGCCAGCCTATCACCCTTTTCCTCTTCCTCAATATTTTCAGAGACGCCTCAACCTGCAATTCGGACAAAGCAGAAGAAAGGATTACATGTAAATATTCATTAGCACCTAAGAATGCATACTTGAGATGAGAAGGGAGAGCCTTTAACTCCAACTTTGGTGCTTCCTCGATCGAAGGCTTAGGATGTGGTGACAGGACTCTATTTAATGGCTCCACAAAATTGCGAAGAATACTCACATTTGGGATATTTAGGACGTTAGCCAACTCCTGGGCTTCAACATCTCCCTCAATGTCTTGCCCAATTAGAACTTTCTCTAAAGGATCTTGGGCTTCAACATATTTAGCTACCATTGCCTCATCAATGACTGTAATTGCAGACATCTCCTCATATATTGCAGGCAACTTCATTGCCTTGTAAACATCAAATACCTCGACCTTGTCGTGAGCCCTCATTGTTAGTCTACCGGCCACCACATCAATTAATGCACCTCCGGTTGCTAGGAATGGGCGTCCCAAAATAAATGGGACCTCTAGGTTAGGCTCAAAATCCATAATGACAAAGTCCACGGGGAAAATCAGAGTTCCCTTTTGAACCAAGACATCTTCAATAACACCATCTGGCCTTGCCACCGAACGATCCGCTAACTGCAACATAATGGTTGTGGACTTGGGCCTTCCTTGTCCCAATTTGAGAAACATGGACGTAGGCCTCAAATTGATACTTGCACCCAAATCGCACAACCCTCTTGCCTCAACACACTGACCAATTTTTATCTGAACAGTGAAACTCCCTGGATCTTTCAACTTAATTGGGAGCCTATTCTGGATCCTAGAACTGCACTCCTCCGTAAGTGCTACTGTTGCGTACTCAACCAATCTACTCTTATTGGCTACCACATCTTTCACATATTTGGCATACTTAGGAATGCCCTGCAACACATCTATCAAAGGCAAGTTAACATGTACCTGTTTGAGTAATTCAATAAACTTACCAAAACATTCCTCCTCCTTTTGTTTTTTGAATTTCTGTGGAAATAGAGGAGGTGGTTTTGCTTTTGGTTCCTCATCCACCCTTTGTTCACTTGGTTCTGCTTCATCTACTTGTGTTCCTTTTTCTTCAGCAACTTTTGCCTTTAGCGGCAACTCTTCCAATGGACGACCACTCCAAGTACTCACAATATTTACCTGCTTCGGGTTTGGGCTGGTATTTCCCGGCAAACCCTTTTATGGTCGGGAATTTTGGGCACTAGCAAACTGCCCAACTTGCTTCTCCAAATTCTGAGTCTCCAATTGATTGTTTAGAACATTCGGTGCCAATTTAGTTTGATCTGCCATGATTTGTTTGAGCATGTCCTCCACACTCATATCATTTTAATTGGCAGCCTGCTGGTTACCATAGTTTTGTTGATGGTACTGTTGTCTATTACTCTGTGGTCTGTATTGGTTATGTCCTTGATATTGGTTTTGATTGCCACCCCATGAATAGTTTAGGTGGTTCCACCAGCTCAGGTTCTAGGTATTTCCATAGCTCTGGTGATTTCCTCCTCGTTGAGCATTACCACAAAATGAACAGATTCTGGGTTTGCTCCATATACCTCAGCATTGTTATCTCCACCGCTACATACTTCACACCAAGCATGTGGTTGATGTACCATATTAATTTGGGATTGTTGTTGTCCTAGTGACATGTTGCTGAAATGAGTAGTCATCATATTCTGCATTGCAGCAATCTGTGCCGACAAAGCTGTCACTGCATCTATTTCCAACACTGTCGCAGTCTTCGGTATGACTAGTTTAGTTCCTCCGCCATTCCACTCAGGGTTACCTATGAAATTCTATTGAGCAATATAAACAGCTCAGCATATGTCTTCTCCAAAGCTTGTCCACCTGCAGCAAAATCAAGTAAATTTTTTGTGTTTGGTTCCAACCCTTCAATGAAGGTATGGACCAACACTTCATTAGCTTGATAGTGATGTGGACAACTTAACAACATGGACTTAAACCTATCCCAAGCCTGGTACAGGTTTTCCCCTCCTTTCTGTCGAAAACTTAATATGTCGCTTCTCAACTTGGCTATTTTACCGGATGGAAAAAACCTTATCAAAAACTTTCGTGCAAGATCATCCCACATTGTTATGGAATTTGTAGGCTCAGAGTTCAGCCATCTTTTTGCTTCCCCCAACAGATAAAAGGGAATAATGTGAGCCTCACATAATCAGCGTTCACTCCAATTGGAGTGTATGTGTCACATATCTCTAGGAAATTCTGGATATGCACTTGTGGGTCCTCATGAGATAGACCAGTGAATTGCCCATTTGTGTGCAGTAGTTGCACCATGTTCTGCTTCAATTCAAACATCCCACCAGGAGCAGGTTTTTGAATACTAGAGGTAACATTGGTGGTTTGTGGGATTGCCACATCCCTCACTTTCATTTCTGCCATCACTGCCTGTAGATCTAGATCCTTCCTTTCTTCTGAAGTTTATGGTTTACTAGCCACAAGAGGAACAGGATAAGTGAGTTTTCTTTGCCTTCTCCAATAACGAACAAATCTTTTCGGTTCAGCGAAAGGCTCTAACAAGTCTTGGTCGTCTTCCAGAGTGAAAACCTGACACAACCTATGAAATGAAGAGCCAAGATCAAGTTGTCAACACTTGTACAAATAATTTAGACTCTCAAAAATTAGATATCTGCCGATTTTAAAGTCCCCGGCAATGGCGCCAAAAACTTGTTGCGTCCAAAAGTACACGCAAGTGCACGTGGTCACTCAAGTAGTACGACAACTCTTTCGAGCTAGATTATCGAACCCAAGGGACTTCAAATCAACCAATAACAACTTGGCTATGTCTAAAATAAATTTACTTATGTGACAAACAATTTTAGAAATTTGTTTATAACTACTAAGTTAAACAATCTCAAAGATTAATTACTACAATGAAACAGTTTCAAACAAGAGAATTTCACAATATGGGAAGGTAATCTAAGGTTGCAGCATAACCTAATTTCTGGCATAATATTAATTTATCCTAGCATTCGACAGACTAACCTCAATATGGATTTGCAAGGTTCATTTTACAATCATGATCTCTCGACCTCTATTCGCCTACCACCATTGACAAACTAACTACATCGTTGAGCAGGGATAGGCATGAACCAATGACAGAGCATTAAGCTATCATCTTGCATATTAATCAAGTGCGGTATATAGGTATAAGACTATCCTATATACGAAACACTCTAATTTTACTCTAGAGTGAACACACTTCCCACATTCTTTGGTATATCCCTCTATTCATCTTCCGAGTTCAAGAGCAGACAATGAGTTTATTTTAATGTTGATCATGCATTAAAATAGTTAAATAAGAATGTAAGCATAAATCACAAGAAAACCCATCTCATGCTAGGAACAAATACTAATATACCATTAATCATAGCTACAACCCTAGAATAAGGGACTTTAGCTACTCATAGACCAAAAGATCATCAAGTAATGTTTATGGATCATAAAAGGGTTTACCAAAATGAAGAAGTAGAAGAAAAGCCCTAGAAAGTGTTTGCCAAATCACCCAAATCGAACTACTCTCGTCTTTTAAAAACTAGATAATAATAAAAATAACACACTTAAACTATTTATAGTCTAAAATAAAACACGTGGCTAGTTTCTGGTGTCCAGGTCCGCGACATGGACATGTTCCCTCGTCTATAGTTGCGCACTGGTGAAAACTCTCCGCGATGCGCTCCCATCGCGCACTCCAGTGTTAAGTGGAGTTCTTTTTCTGCACACACATATCAACTCCGCGACGCGGAGATGCTCCCTCGTAGTGTATTCTCTCGCTTCTTTGCCCTTTTTCTTCGTAACTTCGTCTTCTATTTTCTGACCTTTGACCAGGTGCCCTATTTTGGCTCGTTCTTCTTTGCTTTTCACCTTGAAACATCTAATCATATTGGTTAGAAAAAGCGACATCAAAAGACTCTCAAAACTTAATTCCGACAACGAAAAATGCTTTCAACTTAGCTATATATATGGGATAAATTCGTTATTAGGCGCATAAATACGCCCAAGATCATGAACTCATCACAATGAGCTTGTGGGGTGGTACTTTGATCAGATCTCCATGTACCTAGCATTTATGACATTTTTGGACAAATCGACCACAATCATTTTCCATAGTCATCCAAAAGTATCCCGCCCTTAAGTTTTTATTTGCTAATATAAATCCATTCATGTCCGTCCCACACACTCCAGCATGTATTTCTTCAAGCAATCTCGTGGCTTATGCAGCATCCACACATCTCAGTAATACTAGATCAGGAGTCCTCATATAAAGGACCTCTCCATTCAAAAAGAAGTTGTTTGTCATTTTTCGAATTGTTTTCTTTTGAATACTTGTTGCTTTTTTCGGTACTTGCCAGCTTTTAAGTACCTTTCCACATCGATATACCATGGATTTCCATCCGATTCCACTTCCACATGTGAACAATGTGTTGGTTGTTCTTTTAAACCGATCTCAAGTGAATTAATGTAATTCTTTTCTGGGTGTTGTATCATGGACGATATGGTTGCAAGGGCATCAGCAAGCTCGTTCTGTATTCTTGGCGTGTGTATGAACTTGGTCTTCCTAAATCTTTTGCACAACCTCCGTATCAATTGTACGTTAGGTAAGATTTTAGGATTCTTCACGGCCCACTCTCATTGAACTTAACGAATCAACATCAGTAATTCTTGAACATTCATGTGAAGAGCCATGTTGATGCCAAGAATTCATGGTTCGTACTTAGCCATGTTATTAGTGGATCAGAACCTAAGTTGTGATGTTGCTGGATAATGTTACCCCGATTCAGATATCAATACTGCTCCAATTCCTAATCATCTAGAGTTCACTGCTCCATCAAAGAACATTCTCCACCCAGGATATAATTCTGATATATCTTTCCCTACAAACAATATTTCTTCATCTAAGAAATATGTTCTGAGTGGTTCATATCCTTCATCCATTGGATTTTCAGCAAGGTGATTGGCCAAGGCTTGACCCTTAATTGTTTTTTGAGTCATGTACACAATGTCAAACTCATTCAACAACATTTTCCACTTTGCTAGCTTTTTTGTGGGCATTGCTTACTGAAATATGTACTTTAGCGCGTCCATTCTCGAAATGAGATATGTCGTATAAGCCGACATATAATGTCTCAATTTCTGAGCAACCCAAGTCAAAGCACAACAAGTTCTCTCTAAGACGGTGTAACGAGCCTTATAGGATGTGAACTTCTTTCTCAAATAGTATATAGATCTCTCCTTTATTCCAGTCTTATCATGTTGTCCCAACACACACCCGAATGCATTGTCAGAGATGGATAAATACAATAGTAAAGGATTGTCTGCACGTGGTGGAACCAACACTGGTGGATTCGAAAGGTAACTCTTAATGGTGTCAAAAGACTTCTGAAATTCTTCGATCCATTTGGTTGGCGCATCTTTTCGTAGTAACTTGAATATGGGCTCACATATCACCGTTAATTGAGCTATGAATCGACTGATGTAATTCAGTCTCCCCAGAAAACTCATTACTTCTTTCTTAGTCTTTGGAGGAGGTAAGTCTTGAATTGCCTTGATCTTGGAAGGATCAAGCTCGATACCTCTTCTGCTAACTATGAATCTGAGTAACTTCCCTGCATGTACTCCAAATGCACATTTGGCTGGGTTCAACTTCAAATCGTACCTTCGTAACCTATCAAAGAACTTTTCCAAGTGTGTCAGGTGATCTGAACTCTCGCGAGATTTTATGATGACATCGTCCACATACACCTCAATTTCTTTGTGGATCATATCATGGAAAATGGTGGTCATAGCTCTCATGTAAGTGGCTCCAGCATTCTTGAGGCCGAACGACATCATTCGATAATGGCAGACTCTCCATGGTGTGATGAATGCTGTTTTTTCTGCATCTTCTTTGTCCATTAGAATCTGGTGGTATCCCGCAAAACAATCGACAAAATATTGCAACTCATGCTTAGCACAATTGTCGATGAGTATGTGAATATTTGGCAAGGGGAAGTTATCTTTTGGACTTGCTTTGTTGAGATCCCGATAATCTACGCATATCCTGATCTTTCCATCTTTTTTCGCCACTGGAACAATGTTAGCCAGCCAAGTAGGATACTTGGTCACTTTAACGACCTTTGATTCAATCCGTTTCATAACTTCTTCTTTTATCCTTAAACTCAAGTCTGGCTTGAACTTTCTGGTTTTCTGCTTTACTGGACAATACTCTGAATTGATAGGCAGCTTGTGGGAAACAATATCGATGCTCAACCCCGACATATCATCATAAGACCATG